ATATATATATATATTTTAAGACATTTTTATGTTTAACATTGTTTTTATAGATACAAATATTTAAGTAAATGCTCTGTTTATAATAAACAGTATTAAATAACATTTACCGGCCTGAATGTCCAAGAAATTTTCATAGAAAATATTCGTCCTCCAACAGGATTCGAACCTGTATCCTATATGGAACTGTCATATAGCCTGATGTGCTTTTACCGATTTCGCTACAGAGGATCGATCGGTTAGCAAGGTCGAATTTACTGTTTTTAAACTTCAATCATCCATGAATCTCTCACGTACATTCATCTCTGCCCATGGCATATCAAATGTAAACAAATGACGTCACACATTATGAAATGGACAAAATCCGACAATTATTTTAAGACATTTTTATGTTTATACATTCTTTTTATAGATACAAATATTTAAATATTTGTATTTATAAAAAGAATGTTAAACATAAAAATGTATTAAAATAATTGTCGGACTTTGTCCATTTCATAATATATATATATATATAGTATGAATTAAAGCTAAAAGCTTAAAATATAAACTGAGAGATCAATGCCAAAGTTGACAGAACCTAAATATAATAATAATAATAATAAATTACATATATATATATATATATATATATATATATATATATATATATATATATATATATATATGAATGAAGAAATATAGTTTTAGGGTGTGCTATATTTATGGGATAAAGTGCTCTATATCAGAGATAAAGTTTATGTAAATAAAAATATAAAAGTGAACATTGAAGTCAACACTCAGAGGCGACAGGCTTTTTCATGCTGGACAATCATCAGGCTGACGATTGTGTCTAGCATGAAGCAGCCTGTCACTTCTGAGTGTTGACTTCAATGTTCATTTTTATATTCATATATATATATATATATATATATATATATATACAGGGTGACCAAAAAAATGGGAATGTTCTAACAATCCAATAAAACCAAGAGTGATGGAAAAAAATATTTTATTCATAGTAATTGAAACCTTAAAACATGCCATTTAAGAAACAATGATGGAATTTTCATTTTTTAAAAATTATTTCCTGTAGATGGCATCCTCCTGTACGAATGCATTCTTGAAATCTGCTGTTGAGATTCCTCATTGACTGCTGCAACATCTCAGCTGGGATACTGTGAATTTCATCTTGAATTCTAAATGGCAATATGTTTACTTGCTCAAGGTCACTGTCTCACAGTGTTGCCACTTGCTCATGTCTGGCAATACGCACTTCAAAAATTCCCATTTTTTTGGGTCACCCTGTATATATGTATATGTATTAAGTAATTCATTGATTTTATAAGAAACCTCAACAGAATGAAGAAAGCACTGGATTGCCATTTCATCCTATATTTGGGACTCATCAGCAGTGCACATCCACTACCGAGAATTGAACCCAGACTGTTATGATGCAAGCATCATACCAACTGTACCAACGGGTCTCGGTGACAAAGAGGTAACGAATTAGACTCATTATAGTGCTGCTCTTCATAAATTTTGTGGTGTAATTCATCCAAGTTTCTCTTACCCATAGGACTGTGCCCCCACAAGCCACGACTACTATCCCCAAGCCACTTCATCCAGAGCATTAGAAGCCGGTTCAAGCAAGGATATACAAGTGATAGAAATTATTATTATTTGTCTATTTATACTGGGTATATATATATATATATATATATATATATATTGGGTGTATTTGGCCAGCAACTTTTCATTTTTACATATTTCCTTAAAACTCAATGATTCCTGGTCAGTAATGGTAAATAAATCTATGTCTAAGTACTTTCAGCTAATACTAGTCATTTTCAAAGATGTTTGTTTTTGTTATGATATAGTTAGCAATACTAACAGGGAATCCAAAGATTTGTTAGAAATACTGAGAAAGTAAATAAAAATGAATAATCAACAAGGAACTTTTGTTGCTTTTTAATCAAACAAGTACATGTTGCACTATACCGATATTCTTTGTGGTTCAAAATTGTGTTTGGTGAACTACGGTTGTTTCCTCACAGTGGGTTGCGTTGACTTTCTTCAGGCCAATACCCCAAAGTTGCACCATTTCAATTTGTCACTGAAAACTCAAAACCATCTTTTCACCAGGTAAAAGGTTTTCTTGTAGTAATAAATAGCACAATACATGCCCAAACTGGTTGCTATCACAACCAATTTTTGTGTCCAGTGAGGTAATGCTGCCGACTGCTTGTCAGTGACAGAAAGGGTACCGTAAGTGAGAGAACTTCCATACCCCCATCTGTTTATTGCCAAACCAAAACTCACTGAAGAATCTTTAAAGGAGGGACTCCTTTTTTCCTTTTTTTTTTTTTGTAACCAAGAAATAATGCCTTCTGATTAGTTGGTGATTTGTCAATTCAGGGACCAATGAAAAGACCTCACCACCTTCTTGCTTCTTTTCCTTTTTGCTTGTAGGTGTTGTGACCATCAACTAACCCATATTTCAGAAATACATTTTCAACAACCTGAATGACTGTTTATTAATTTGGAGATTTTTTCTTATTAATCGTTAAACTTAAATTATTATTTTCCTTTAATCTACAAAAACAATGTTATACAAAATGCACACATACATACAAATATAGAGGGACAAATGAATTATGAAAAGGTAGTGGTATGTTTCATTCTGTTATATCTCGGGCAAGATATAATAAACAAAGTAAACCCGAGTGTGGTTTTCAATAATAATTTTATAATCGGATGTAGGTATGTCAAAATACAGAGACAGGAGTAAGCTAACCGCAATGGTGTTAGTAAACGAAGACCTTTTTTACTGTTTACTGTGGTCGTACTTTATCGGCAACCAGTCCGTCCATTATCGTGAATGGGGAAGTTGGGTTATCTCATCACAACACATTCCAAGAAGGAACATTTTTAGACACATAATGGTTTTATTTCTGGAACCAATCTGTATAAAAATGGATGGGAAAAATTTAAATATTGAACATCACTGCATCTTTAATGTTTGCATATGAACTATAACTGGCATTTGTCATAAACCCCTACCCCAGCACACACTTTTTTTTAAGAGGAAAGTGTTTAATTAAAATTCTATAATTAACTACAGTTGCTTTTAATAAACAAGGTATATATACATTATTCAGAAACATTTACAATTCAGAAACTTACAAAGATTTATTCAATTTAGTATAATATTACTTCAAATACATACATATATATATATGTTTGTCTTAATTAGGATACATAAATCTTGACAAAGATTTTAAATTTTGATAATTGGAAACATTTCACGAAAAAATAGATTTGTGTAAAAATAGATTTGATAACACATTTCACCATTTCTGATCTGATAAAGCCTTAAATAGCGAAATGCATTATCAAATCTATTTTTTACACAAATCTGTTTTCATGAAACATTTCCAATTATAAATATATATATATATATATATATATATAAAACACTAAATACTTTTTTTATATATTTATGAAATAAAAGCATTTGATGTTTTATATATAAAACACCAAATGCTTTTATTTCATAAATATATAAAAGCATTTGATATTTTATATATATATATATATATATATATATATATATATATATATATATAAAATACCAAATGTTTTTATTTCATAAATATATAATGGATGGCACATCTAACATTGTTATCATTATTACCGATGTTGCTGAATAGTGCCAGTCCCTTCCTCTCTTCTCTTAAATGATTATAATAAATATCATGTCTAACAACACATTCGTCTTGCTTTAAATTTTACCCACCCCCACCAAGCCCATATACAAACACACGTACATTATTATTGAGAATAGTATGTTGAAAGACACACAATGCATATAGTTTTGTATACAAGAGTCAAATGTAATGTAAAGCCTGGAAAAATATATTTTAATTCACAAACTCCTCTATAGTGGTCATAGAGTATGACACAATTTTATATCTACAGGGTGTTTTCTCTGAAAAAATATATATATTTGGGGGATACCCTGTATACATACACACACACACACTAAAACGCAACCCCAAATGTTTATGCAGCCAAATAAGTTTTTAAAAACTGTAAAAAAAATATCCCTATTTGAATATGACTGCATTCTTTGCAAGGCTGTTGCCAAATATGAAAGAATTCCATTTTTAAGAAAAATGTCGAAAACTTTTGTTTTTTTTTATATTTTTTACCCAGGTTTTACCAAACTTAAGCAATCTATGTATACAAGTCCATTATTGTCATACTTCATTTACAAATTGAGCTTCAAAAGAAGTCTATTTTTTAAAATGCATGTTAAATAAAAGTTTATTAAATTTATGCTTTGAGTTATTTAAAATTATATAAAGCCAAACAAACACTTCAATATGAACGCACACAGACACACAATGCACACATACTCACAGACACAAGCATCATTCATGAAGGCAGAGATAAACACACGCCCACACCTCTCCCACGCACAAAGGCACATTCACACATAAGCCCCCTCTGCACCCCATGTTGTGACTCATAGTCTAAAGAGTGTAACATGCACGACTTAAAAGTTGGTGACACACACCATATGCAATCTCCCGTACAAATGCACTGACACAATGAAATTGAATACCTCTACAGGCCATAGAAATCTCTCGTAGGATTAAAACATTCTTCATGCAGATGCACACACACACACACACACACACACACGCACACAGAATAAAGGCAGACACAGAGATGGGTGTGCATGCAAAACTGTGTATGTCATTCAAACGATGATAACATATTTGAATGCATTGTCTTTGGTTTGTCTTGTGGCTCATCTGATTAAAGGAAAAAACATCCTGACTTTGTTGATGGGAATGGTTATTGCTGTAGTTGTCTTTAGCCAAATGCAGGTTGAGATATTTAGACCTCAAAAAGGTGGTGTATGGCATTTGGCTAAATGGATGCAAATGACACCCACAATGAATATAAAGTGCAATAGATTTATATGAAAATGCACAAAAATATAAAAAATAAACAGAGATAGATAGATAGATAGATAGATAGATAGATAGATAGATAGAACATGAAATAGGTATGAAGATATAAATAACATGAAATAAATATGAAGATAGATAGATAGATAGATAGATAGATAGATAGATAGATAGATAGATATAAACAACATGAACTAGGTATGAAGATAGATATAAACAACATGAAATAGATAGGTAGATAGATATGAACAGCATGAGATAGGTATGAAGATGGATATGAACATGAGATAGGTATATAGATAGATATATTCAAATGTTAACATAGTATAAAGGACATGTTTTGAAGAATGCAACAAAATGAAACCTTCAGAAATTTAAGCAGGCTTCTATAGAAAGCCAATTCAATACAGACTTGACCTTTGAACTAAATTGATAGGTATCAAAACTTCAATATAAACAAATGTATTTTTCACTATATTTTAAGTAAAAAGTTATATTTTTCAAATCCAGTTAAGTAATCATTAATTATTTTTTGTTATATCCTATATTTCAGGGAAGGTTACTTTATTTTGGAAGATTTTTAATTGCAGTGTTTAAATTTTTCTATTTGCAGAAACCAATTAACAAGTTCATTTTGGATAAAAAAAATTGATATTAAGACAGTCAAAAATCTGCTTTAGGTACATCAAAAATTCATTTCTATTTTTACAACTACTTTCTGTTATTTACTTGCAATTAAAACTTTGAAAAAGGTATTTAAATTATTGCAATATATTTTAAATGTTTATTAAAAAGTCTGTTATTATTTCTATAATTTGTAATTATTTTGGTATCTATCAAGTTGAAATGAGCAGTACAAATTCTTTTATATGGATATGAGCAAAAAATAGTATGATATATTTTGTATATTACAAAGCAAAGTTTACTGGCTTTCATATATATATATATACACTTTAGGCCAAAGGTTTGGGGCCACACTCTGGAGTTAATAATTAGTAAGTTTCATCCTTGTTTTGTTCAATTAACTCTAAGCAAAAATGCTGAAACTATTTAACCAATTTGTGCATGGTGTCCAATTTTTTTAGACAGGGAGTTACCTAAAATTTAAAATATGCCAGAAAGGTAAATTAGGCAAAAAGAGTTAAACTTTTAAGGAAGCTTTATACAATAATTTTATTATTATTATTATTATTATTATTATTATTATTATTATTATCATCATCATCATCATCAAGTGATGGTGTTGAATGTCAACACCATCACTTGATATGACACCAGAAGTGTTGAAACAAATTGGCTATTTTTGGAGTGATTTTATAACATATTTATGTTATAATTTTGAATAAATTATATTTGCTCTACTCTGTATTGAGCACTTTATTGGAATTTATTCTGTATACATCAATCCTATACTTGTGTGTATATATATATATATATATATATATATATATATATATATATATATATATATATATATATATATATATATATATATATATATACAGTGTTGTGTATCTAGGCAAGATTCCTTCTTTAATACATGTTTTGTTGAGCAAAACTGACAAGGTACTTTTGTTTAGTTTTTTGTTATGGTTTCCATGTATATTTACAAGCGTTTTCATTTCTGCTTTTAATGAGGGCAAAAATTGTCCAAACATTTGTTAGTTCTGGGTGCTCTCAGCTAGACTATGAGGTGTAAGTGCTATTATAGATGCTATATTAATTGCTGAAAGCAGATATAGTCTTAGTTTATAAACACAGACAGTACATCGAGAGACCATGTTCATAATTGATGCTATTAAGGGTTGTCTTTTAATTTTTATAAGGGCTTCCATCATTTTTAAATGTTTTTTACTGTGTTCCCAACAAGTATGGTGCATACTGACATTGGTACAATTTCAGGCTGGTTGTGTCCATACTGAGCTCTGGTCAGAGAAAGGTAGAGTTGGCTGTCTTGACAGGTGGGTGATGGTGTATCCAATGTAATTATTTATGGATTTGATTTTGTCAGGATCACAGTTGCCCATGAGGCATCTAAATTCATAAATAATGTTGGTTTGGTACACTTTTCCTTTTGCTAACAAGATGCTATTTCTGATAATCAGATTAGATGTTTTTAATTTTAGCATACAAGAAAAACATAATAAAAACTAAACAAAAATATCTTGTCAGTTTTCTTCAACAAAATAACATTTTATATAATTTCATATATATATATATATATATATATATATATATATAGAGAGAGAGAGAGAGAGAGAGAGTAAGAGAGAGTAATCAACATAAGTGCAAATATAAAAAATGTACCAATTACATTTGCATCAAAAAATGATTCAATGCTGATCTCTCAAGAAAAGTTTTGTCTACTTTAAAAATATTATTTCACGGCTTTTACCAAGGTTTGAACACTAACTGCTAGTTCCTCAACTATTACAGTTGTATAACAGCATTGCTGATCCTAATCAAGACATAACCCCAAGGATTAGAATTTCTAAAGACGAAAATCTCCCAAAACCACAATCAAAAATGAACTAAACCTTGTAAGACTGAAATGCTGAAAGGCAAAATAAAAAAAACACAAATTGTATAAAAAAGGTTTAAATAAGATGAGTAAAAAGATGAATTAGTAATTAGTAGATACTCTAATAGGCAGCAAAAAATGTATAATTACAGGAGGATAGTGGGAATACCATGGATAAAGTGCATGAGCAACAAAGAAATCTTAAGGAAAATGAAAACAAAAAGGACACTTATAATCAGAAAGAGGCAACTGAAATTTCTTGGACAGGAGTGCTTGGAGAATTTGACATTAACAGGACATATGAAAGGCAAATGGGTCAAAGGAAGGCAGCTGACGGAACAAGGGGAAGCAGGAGATTTGGCAAAGAGACAAACATTGCTAACGGCTTTCAAGAGAGTCATGATTACCCACATCCTAATGGGACACAGCATATTGAAGAAGAAGAGGAGGAGGAGGTGATCTGGTTGTTTATACAGTTAGGTTTAGGATTAAGGTTTAAACTATAACTAATGATCATGAAAGTCAGCCAAATTCTGTATGTGTAATACACTTTTCATATGGTGAATTTTATTTGAAATATTTTTGTTCTTTAAGTAAATGTGTTTTTACATGTTTCTCAAAAACAAACATTTTTAAAACTACAAATAAATGTCTTTTAAGAATTTTTGAGGGGATTTTGACCTTTTCAGATTGTGATTTTAAAAATTTCAATCTTTAGGTGTTTTGATCTTTCAGAAATTTTGAATTTGGAACTATCAGAAATGTTTGGATTATTTTTCAGAATTATGACCAAACCCCATAAACAGTTTCTTATAATTGATTGCTTCGACACAAAAATAATTTTATAACTGTTGACTTATAAACTCAGTTGTTGTTATAATCAATTAATTTTTTTTAACTTTCTCAATTTTTGTTGCTTTTTCAGTTTTTCATCAGTTCATTATCTGACCATCTTCAGGTGATATATCTGTCTGGTATATTAATCAATATAAAAAGACTTCTTCTATTTGCCATTTTCCTTCAAGACATTTGCAATCATGGCTCTCCACAATTTTATGTCCTTTGTGTCTTAATAAATTTTGTCTTTTGGCTATCTCTCCTAAATCTTGTCAGCCAGCTATTTACACAAGCTTACTGGGTATGTTAGGCATTGTTTTCATCTATCCCTCTTGCTTTCAATCTATCCTGTGAGTATCTAATTTACCAAGCCCTTTTTTCTCATTATGTGCACTAACCAAAGGAGCTTCTCAAGTATAAAGCTTTATTTTGAGATGATGTAATTGCAAGTTTTTGCATGGAGGTAACAAAACTTGAATCACTATTTTACTTAGAAGGTAACCACTACCAAGAAAAGGTGGCCACATGTTTATTGTACTTATGTCTATTATTTTGTCTACTTATCTATTTTATTAAGATGGCATAATTCAGAATGAAATCTTACCAGAATATAAACTATGCACTCCAGATTTTTTTCAAATATTCATCTATTCAATGAGAAGAGTTTGAAAAAAAGACTGCATTTATAATATCCAAGGCAAATTTGGATTAGAATATAAGGGAGAGACAAACCACCCCTTTAAAGTAAGATTCAGGGAATGCAGAAAACTACATCCAATGAGGAAGTGGGAAAATCTAGGATGGAAAATCATATCTGAAGAGTGAAGGGAATACATTATTTTCTCTTGGATGGAGTCTAAATAATAGAAAACACTGCTGGAGAGTGAGAAAATTGAAGACATTGGCAGATATCAACATAAGTCAGACTAATATATATTTCAATGTAGAGGGATTTTCATTGCTCTACAAGAATTTAGTATAAATTTTTTTGTTTATAAAAGAAAGGATTTGAAAACATTTCCAGATATAAATTATAAAGCAAGACATATGTTCAATTTTTTCTGAAAAGTAAATTTATCAAAGCATTACTGCAAATATTTTTAATTTTCTGTCACTGCTTTCTGCTAATGTTCTCTTTTCCATACAAATAGTATACATGAAGAAAACATTAGAATAAATCATCCAATACTTGATGAGATTAATATAAACATGACAAAGAACAGATACTGATGTCTGAACAACTCATGTAACATGTCCCCTTTTCCAACTCATTATTCAACAAGGAGCTCCAGTGATTTAAAAAAAAATCACTATAAAAAAGTCAACTTCCAGGAGTACAATTAGTCTATTTTTTATCTTTTCTTTCTTTTTTTTAATCATTCCCCCCTCAAGCATGGCAATAAAGCCACAAAGATAGTATGTTGCATTTAAATTTTTCAAAATCCAGAAGAAAGTTCCACAAGCCAGAAGTGCAAAAAGAAGAAAATATTAGCATAGAACTTACGGTTACAACTATCAATTTCAAGAATAAAATGATAAAACCTAGCTGCCAATCTAGTACTGCACTTAAATTCATGAAGTTAAGGTATCAAAGAAGACAGCTCATCAGAACAATTGCCATGAAAATATTTACAGAAAAAGCACAAGAAAGTTATGTTATGGTGTTGGGAAAGAGATTGAAGCTGAGATTCCATATCAGGACTGATAATATTGCAAACAATTCTCTTATAGATTAATATCATCCCTTTCCTACAAAAACAACATTACAATATTTACATTATTCGGACTATTGTCCTCATCTTTGTCGCCATGTTTATCACAACGTTTTGGCCATTGTACGCTCCGGCCTTCTTCAGGTGGTTGGAATGTCGAAGTGAACCCTTTATTTCACTCACAGGGAAATTAACAGGAGATAACTGATAATTGACATTCATTAAAAACATGGCATGTGGAACTAGAACAGTTTACCCTAGTGAGCGAAATAAAGGGTTCAGTTCGACATTCCAACCACCTGAAGAAGGCCAGAGCGTACAACGGACGAAACATTGTGATAAACATGGCAACAAAGATGAGGACAATAGTCCGAATAATGTAAATAATGTACATAATACCTGATCTCAGAAATATAGACAGATACAACATTACAAGCTTATCAATACAATCTATTGCTATTTTCATATCATATATTCAGATGAGTTCCATTGTATAGTTCTACCAGTTCGGACGTTTACAGCTTGGACCTGCCATGCTACCTCAACCCCTCCATATTACACTCAACCATATTACCTCAACCCCTCCATATTACACTCAACCATATTACCTCAACCCCTCCATGTTACACTCAACCATATTACCTCAACCCCTCCATATTACAGCTTGGACCTGCCATGCTACCTCAACCCCTCCATATTCTAAATGCATAAAGAAAGTTCCACTCAAACAGATTTTTCATAAAAATTGGTATTTTATGAAAGAGATTCATACATGGATGCTTCCCTAAACACCACAATCAAGTCAAGGATAAATTGTTATCTATCCTCCTTATCCTCACAATCTTCATTACCTACCACCTCCTCTTTCATTCATATCATACACCTTATTCATCATTATCATTTTAACAATAATCCTCTACTTTGAATGACTTTCGAGACTTGTATTTGATTATCTTTAGTATAAAAAACATGCTCCTTTTACAAATCATCTTGTTAAAAATTTGACTATGTCCACATGAGGTGCTTACCATAGCACAATGGTTAGCAAACTCATCTTATTGACCTAATGTTAAGAGTTTGATCTTCACAGGCATTTCATTTTTTTGTTGCTTGTACTGACTGAGCATTCTTAGGAGATTACCAGCTGCTTTTTGGAATTTTTTGCAGTTTCAATATTTGGCGAGTTTTTGCAGTTTCATTTTTTTTAAGTTTTAAAAATGGTTTTTAGAAATATAAAAAAAAATTTTGAAAGCAAATAAAGATAAAATATAAATAATTTTAATAAAAATGGAATTATTTGTTTGAATTTAATAATATATAGAAAGAAAACAATCTTTAGAGGTCAAGGGTCAGATTTGTCGTTGCTCGCGGCGGCTGCTGTACATCTTGGCGTTGTTCGTTAAAACTCGTTATTACTCGGCAATTTCCGTTGCTGTTGTGTCACTAGAGCAAATATGGCCAACTCAGAGGCTGGTTGTTCACATTACGGTAGAAATTGTTCTTTGGTGGTAAGTGAAACAGTTTTATTTTGACTGTTAATGGGTCCTGTGTTTTATAACGGTCTTTTGATGCTTTACTGTAACTTTACAAGAATAATATGATCGATTTAATAGGGTTTCTTACGGCAAGAATATTTGTTCTATTCGCCCCTGACCCAATCTGGGAACGGGGGGAAAATAACCCAAGCGACACCTTTTCTAGGTTTCTTTTGTAGATCTTTTTTTTCCTTATCTTCTTTAAGATTACTTCTTTCGTTTTTTATATATATATATATATATTTTTTTAAGTAGTTAATGAAGTTTTTTTTTCTTTTGATTATTATATTTAGATCCTTAATTATCAGAGAATCAATCCATTTCGTCCTTAGAAACCGGTAAATGATTTAAATATTTTCTTGGCCAGTTTGTGTTTATGCCACATTCTTTTAGTCTGCATAAAATGTCGAAAAAGAAATTCGATTCAAATGAATGAATCGTTTCTTCTTCTTTTTACCTTTCTTACCTGAATTCTCCTTCATCTTAAATCTTTTTTATTTATATAATTCCCATTTTTATTCGTTAATGCTAGGGGAAAAAAAAGGTTTTGACAACCTAAAAAAAAACCTGTGTCCATTTCTATTTTTAGTTAATTTTTTTAAATTTCTTTAAAAAATTTACTTTTTTGAACGAAATAGTCGATAAAATTTAACTATTTTTATACTTTTACTTTAATTAATATCTAATAATTATTGATTTTTTTCTTAAATTTAAACATTTTAAACGTTTTTCTCTTCTTTTTTTAATGTCCCAAATTAATTTTTTAAAAATCCATTTTTAAATATTGAATTTGCATCTCGATGTCTTTCTTTATCTTATTTATTTATAAAATTTTAAAATTTGTACTAAAAATTATATTATTAGATTACAGCCAGATAGTTACTTTTACTTTTTTCTACCAACCCACATTTTTATTAGATTTTTTATTTTTTAAATAAAAATTTGATATTTTCTTTATTTTTTTTCTATTATTCGACTATTTTTTTTTTTTTAAATATCTACAATATTTTTCTTTTTTCTTTGTGCATAATAAAAAAAACTATTGTGATGAATAAATAAGCCATCTGTCTATTTATGATCAAAGCGACTAAAATAGAAATTTAAAAAAAAAAAAGCGATCATTTCGTAATAATAGTATTAATAATATTCTTTTAAATGAAACTAGTAACTGAGTACATTATTACTACTACTTATGTTATTATTAGATATTTATTTAATTTAACCAAAAATGTTACACTCATTTCCTTCTTTTTTTTTTTTTTCTTTATTTTTTTTTTTAAGACAAGGTTTCGGATAATAGATGATTTTTGGCCTTCTTCAGGTGCCCAAGTCTAAAAACAACAATGAAGATAATAGTGCAAAAAATGTCTTTTTAATAATGAAAAATAAAGTGTCAGAATTTGTCAACAAAACTATTTTGTTTCTAATGTCTCCAGTCGTATTCTTCTTGCTCTGGGACCCTTTTTTAAAGGGACAGTGATTAGTAGTTAGTACTCTTATACTTACCACGTGCAGTATTTTATAATATATTTTTCCTTTTATTTATTAGTTGGAAGATCTTGGTTATACAAAATAAAATATGGTGAACATTCAGTTTAAATAAAATTAAAAACTAAATCTTGACCCACGGAAGGTGTCCATTGCGAAAAATGCGGTTTATTAAAAAAAATAAAAATCACGTTAAAAAAAGGATATTATTGCATTTTCTTTTTCTTTAAAATAAATATTTTAGGGCCGCTGTAAAATGCTTTAAATATTTTTATATGAATTTTAAAACTCGAAAGTAGGTTTTATTTGACGCAAGAGTAAAATTATTTTAATAGCCCACACCACACTAATACTAAAAAAATCACTATGTAAACATTAAATAGGGCATTTGCTTACTTTATCCTGGTTAAGAATCAATCTCCTTCATTGGTTGAGGCAACCTATTTATTTATTTATTTTTAAATACTCTTCCGATAACAAATGTAAGCAAACTGGTTGAGAAGCACTCTTTATATACGCAAAAGGAGATGGATTCTCTTCCACCTTCTTACACTCAACCAGTTTAGGACGAAAAAAAATGATTGTATCCTCGACTGACCTAAAAACTCTATTGAAGTCGTAGACAGAAATAAAGACGGTGTTTTTTATTTTAAAAAAAAGTCTACAGAACGGACATCTGTACACAAAGTCAAGTTTAATTAGAAAAAGTCTATCAGTTTAATTGAAGACATTTTGAGACGAGTAAATTAAAGTCCTTGCACAATTTGCTAAACAAAAAGAAAAAAATCTAACGTAAAAAAAACAAGTTTGTGAACGATAATCTGAAGAAAACTTGGATTGAATATCTTTTAATTAAAAAGAAAAAAAAAATGCATAAAAAATGTTCTTGCTGTTGTTTTCTGTCCACTTCACATCATTTCTTTTTAATTTTAATTTTTTTTCCTCACAATCATTGTACTTAATGTGTCCCCACCCCCGCAACTGAATAGTAATAATAATAATAAAATGTAGTTTGGCTTTATTGGAATGAGGCAAGTGTGGTTCAAGGCTATCTGCCACTTTGTATGTGGGGATGAGTGACCTCGCTTTATAAGATGACATTCTCTCTTTCTCTCTCTTCCCCCTCTACCCTCCCCGCCTGTACTCCCTTACTTGCATCGGCTGGGTGCACCCACACAGCAAGTATGTCTTTTTACAGTGAAAACAGGTCATGGCTTAAGAATGATAACAATTTTGCCCAATGCTACTATATTCTTTGGAAAGTGCAATTTTAGCAGATTTCTTCTTTTTTTCCTTTTTCACCTAACATTGTCTTTGTTTTACTTGAATGTTTGCAAGATATTTCTTTGGTTATGAAGGTTTCTTTACTCTGTAATTAAAAAAGAAATTAGAAATATTTACTCAACATAGCCCCATATAGGCAGTGGGGGGATGCAAACTTCTCAGCCCAACCCACTTCCCCTTCTCAAATCTGACCAAACATCAGAATTTCTTTTAGAATCCCTTTTTGGTTGGGCTGAGAACTTTTCAGCTCCCTTTGTATAATCTGCATTGTCACTGGTAGAAAAAATATTCACAAGGAATTCAAAAAATATTTCATTTTCTCTGACTTTATATTTTGTTTGTGGTAACTTTAATAATGAACATTGTTACTTCTCCTTATTTGAACTTTGACCTCAGTATTCTCTCGGATTATTTTTAGGTGATGACTTATTCAGGAACTGACAAATACTCAAAATGTAACTCTGTAAATGTTTATCTAAAATGCAGTCTTTGCACAAATCATTCAAATCCCGAAAATGATGCTAAACTATTTTTATACAAAAATGTCTCAATTATTATGAATGACCTATGGAATTATCACATTTCAATCTTTTGCATATTTTGAAAATGACAGATTTGAATGTGAAAACTGTAATAGATATTTGTTTGTGTGTGTGTGCCTATTTTATTCTTTGACAGTTTCTGAATGACTGTCTTTTCATTGAAATGGATTCTCTCTCATATTCAGCTGTGTCCTTTCAAAAACTAAAATTGAGATAGTGATGCTATTATCTAATAGCAGAAACTGACTGTATAAATTGGTATAATTAATCATAAAGGGGCACCTATTCAGGTGGACCTGAAGTATTGAATGTCTCCATACAATCTGCATAATTCCTGGTAAATGTGTGTATGAAAAGTCTAAATATTTTGCACTTTTACTCAGTTGATCTCTTATAGCTACCTAAACCTTGAGCAAATTCCTTGGACTATGTAGTTACTATAAAATCCTTCAGCATCCAAAGATTTACTTAGTCTGAATGAATGATGAAGTAAACCTGATGAACATTTATAAAGACGACTTTTTGTCCAAAATTCTTTTTATAGGAGCCATAATGTCATTGGCATCCTTTATAATGTCATTGTTTTTCTAATTCTTTCAAGGATGTAGTCACTACTTATTTTTTATCATTGATTCTTGATTTTTCTTAATTAGTATAATTATTCTAGAAAATCAGGTTGATATAAAATTCTGCTGTGGAACAAAATTCAATCAAACTTGGGCTTTGCTGTCTATGACCAAATATTTTTGTTGCTTAAAGATTTCTTTGATATTCACTGGCATTCTTCTATATGTGCTGTGTACCTACAGGACGTGGGTGATCATGGCTCTCCACAATTCCACTGGCATTCTTCTATATGTACTGTGTCAGGTAGGTTATTTGCTGCTTTCCTCTGTCCCTCAATATATCCTGTGAATATCAAATTTGCCAAGCCTGTTCTCATATGCCCTAGAAATTTCAGTTCTCTCTTTTCTTATTCTAAATATAAATGTCTTTATCATTTCCATTTTCCTTAAAACTTTAACATGTTCAGTCCATGGTATTCTCAACATCCTTCAGTAGAATCATATTTCTGTTGCCTCAAGTCTCCTCTTCATCTGTGCAGATATTGTACAGCATTCACTGCCATATAAGAGGACCAAAATATTACATAAGAGTTGGGCACTCTTCTTTGTTTTTAACAAAATTTCTCAGTTTCTTAATATTTTGCTTAGCTTTTAGAAGGCATCTTTTGCTATAACAATGCACATTTGAATATTGGTGTTGTCCAGTTAAAAACTACCTAAATATCTAAATTTTTGTACTTGCTAGACTTTCATATCTCCAATCTGTAGTTCACATCTTGGGCTGCTCCTTTTGATGACATCGATAAATTCTGTCTTCTTACAATTGATGTTTAGTCTTTTCTTCTAACTTCTTTATAACCTTCTCTAAGAGTTTCTGTAGTTTCCTTTCTGTGTCTGCTATCAACATTATGTCATCTGCATATCTAAGGTTTTTAAGAGCAGAGAAAGGAAGGTGCTTTAGTGATGGTTATTTTCTAAGCATAGCTTAGATGTGGCACATGACCTAAAGTATGGAGCACCTAGTGAGAATCGAACTCACTTTTCAGTTGTAACAAACAGAAAATGCGTCTGAGCAAGCATCTGCAATAGGGAT